AGAATTTATTAAATTTTAATTGGATTAAATTCTAAAATATCACAAAATTCATATGATAAACCTGAATTATTAAAACCAGTTCCAACCTCTATTCCTCTTCTATTAAGGTTGTTACCAGAATTCTTGGTCTTGATTCTTCAGTTAGTTTGTTTAAAGTTTCCTTTTCTATAAGGTCTTCAATATCTCTTTTTGTGTTTTTTTTTCTTTAATATTTCTTTTTTTTCTTTGGCTTTTTTATGTTTTTGTTCTAGCAGCTTTGCTTTTTGTTAAACTTGTATCTTCTTTATTTCCTTTCTAATTGTATTTTTCTTTTTTTCTTTGTGTTGTTTTATTTCTATTAATTTTACTAATTCTCTAAAATGCTATAATAATAGTTCTAAAGTTATTTTATTATACTACCTTTGTCAGCACTTTTTCTGTTTATTTAGTCTTTTCATCTATCCTGTTTCTATTCTAGCCTCTGCATACTCGGTAGCTATTCTTTTTTTATTATGTATAAACAGCCTTTCTCTTTTTGCTGCATATAGATTTCTTATAGTATTGATTACTTTATCTAATAGGATATGTTCTACTAGATCGATTTCTAACTATACTGCCTCTTGATATGCTGTATTATTTCTTTTTTTGAGTACAAGTTCAGTGTTCTGCTCTATGTGTCTCAATTCTATATATATTTTTGCTATTCATTTTGTAAAAGATTATTAAAATTGCTTTTAGTACTATATTGATTAGTTGTTTTTTTTGGAAAATGTTAAATGATGCACCAGTGCATTTGGTGCACCCATGTATACTCCTGTATTAGTAATAGATTCAATGATTCAAACTCCGTCAGTGCAGAATAAGATTTACTATATCAACGTTTTATTGATTAATGTTATATATATTTACTACATTAACATTTCATTAATTAATGTTACATATTTGTTAAATTATATTTTGTATATACAGTATACTGTTAATAATGTTAATAATGTTTTGATAATAATGACGACAATTTTGACAATATAAAGCTTTTTTTTTTTTGTACATAACTTACTTATGAATAACAAGGTTATTTGAGATGTATACTAGTAATATGCAAAATTATATTAAAAAGTAAAGTGAAAAAACAAACAATTATTTGAACCTTACTGAACAAATAGAAAACACAATTATTTATTGGAGGAACAAATTAAAAAAAGAAATTATTTAACTGCAAATAGATAAATAAAGATGACAAAAATAATTTGCCAGAAGTCAGCGAACGAGTGGGTAATGAAAATAAAGCTGATGAATAAGTAGTCAACTGAAATAAAGCTGTTAAACAAATGGGTGCCAGAAATAAAGCTAGTAAACAAGTAGACAATGGAAATATTGTTGTTGAACAAATAGGTAATGGAAATAAAGCTATTGAACAAGTAAATGATGGGAATAAAGCTGTAGAACGAATGGATAATGGAAATAATGTTAGTGAACGAGTTGACAATAAAAATAATACTGGTAAACTAGTAGATGATAGTAATGGAAATTGTTTGTTAGATGCTGATGAACGAATAAGTGATTGTAGTGATGCTGGTGAGCAATTGAATGGTGATGTTGACAAATATATGTTAGATGTTGGTGAATAGTTAGATGTTGATGAATGATTAGATGATACAGAACAATTAGATAATGAATTAGGCAATTTCAAACAATTAGTTAATGTTAGTAAGCAATTAGTTGATATTGGACAATTAGTTGATATTGATGAACAATCAGAAGATGCTAATAGAAGCCACATGTTGGATGCTAATGAACAATCTGATAATATGAACTATGTGTTAGATGATGATAATTGGTTGAATAATGATGAAATTGATGATGATCTTAGAATCGATAAACTATTTGTATCATAGGATGAAATATATATTTCTTAATGGCTATTGTAAGCAAAAGAGATTTGAGTATCGAAAGGGATATTCAAAAAAAAAGGGAGTGATAAGGATGCAATTAAAAGAACTTTACCAGGAACAGAGTAATGCAATCACGAAGTATATAGTTTATACGCTGTTTGGAGTGGGATTTGTCTGCAAAATCTTAAGTTTGATTGGTCCGCATGACTTATTCGTCAAATT